AATGTTTCCTTTGCCTTTTTTAATTTGATTAGTTAAATTCTAGTTGATACTTGCCTCATGAAAGCTACTAAATAAATTCTGACTTCAAAGTGAATTAGAGCTCCCAAGTTTATTCACAATATCTCAGACCTTAAAAACTTACATATTAATAAGAGAGTAGAATGTAGTAACTAGAGGCTAGGAAGAGGCGGGGGATAGTGAGAGGTTGGTTAATGGACACAAAATTACAGCTAGATGGGAAAAATAAGTTCTAGTGGTGTACACTAGTGCTAGGCATCTATAATTAACAATAATTTATTGTATTTTTAAATGGCTAGAAGAGCGTAAATGTTCTCATCACAAAGAAATGATAAATTTTTGCAGTGATGAATTTGCTCACTACACTGATTTGATCACAACACATTATATACATGTATTAAAGTATAACTCTGTATCCCGTTAATATATACAATTAATACATTTCAATTAAAATAAATAATTTTAAAACCTACATATTAATAAATATGGACCTGCATTTGCTTTCGTGGAAAAAGTAAAATGATCTTGATTGGACCCAAATGTAGTTCAGATATTGGTTTTCCATGTTAATATAATTATGGTTACCATTTCACTGAAAAACTCCCTGAGAATTTCTGTATTTTTTAGTGAGATTCTTTCTTCCCATAGAACCAGTCTCTGAGGTTGATATGAAAAAATCTTCAGGTATGTTTGAGTTTTTTTTATAACATGGTCCTGCCCTCCCACTTGACTTAATTTTTCTGTGTTGCCATTAGTCTTTTCACATTCCCACTTGTCCTTGCCCAATTCGGGAGCAATAGGTAGGTGCACATAAAAAGGAAGAGAGGGATATTAGTATTTTCAAGTCAGTGATAATTTCTGTTCCTTTACTTGTCCTGAAGCCCTGAATTAAACCAAAGTCTCCCAATGTCTGAAGTACTGCTACTAGAATGAAATTCTGCCATTTGCAACAACATGGATGAACTTAGAGAGAATTACGTTAAGTAAAATAAGCCAGGCACAAAAAGAGAAATACCACATGTACTCATAAGTGGGAGCTAAAAAAATAAAGAAAGAAAGAAAGATACAACAATCACAGTGATTCACTGAACTTTCAGAAGGAGAGACTGGAAATGAGGCTACCAGAGGTGTGTGTGTGGGGTGGGGGAGGTTAGCAAGAAATTGGTAAAGGGCCACAAAATATGATTACATTGTGTAATGTTGAATATACTAATTATCCTGATTTGAGCATCACCTACTGCACACAGGTATTGATATTCAACACTGTATCCCACAGATATGTACAATCAGTTATGTTTCAATAAATAAAAAAAAGTACTGCTACCATGTGCTAATCATGTAACAGGATATTATGGAAAATATGTTGATGTAGTACCTGAAAGCAATAAGCCAGTCATTACCTGTTTCCTAGAAATGCAGATGGTCTTTACAGCTCTTACTTAGAACAAAGGAATGAAAGTTGGAGCAACAGGGTGGTATTCTGAACCACTGGAGTATAAAATAACTATGAGAGTAGGTTTGGTGAAACAATTAACACATATAGACTGGAAGAGCCATGCTATCAAGCAACAACTAAACTAGCAGTCAGGGAGAGCATATGTCATACATTTAAGTGAATGAAATAATGCATCATATATTGGATTGAATAATTAACTGCAAGATGATGTTAGAGTGGTCTCTGTATAGTGATAAAGTCAAGTAGGCTTTAGTAAGTAAGAACTCAAGCCTTGGTGTTAGACTATCTGACTGCCATTTACCAATAGCATGAGCTTAAGCAAATCACTTCACCTCTTTTTTCATCAGTGTCTTTGTCTGGAAAGTGAGCATAATAATAACATACCTGCCTTTGCTGAATACATGCACACACGTGCGCGTGTGCACACATACACACACACACTACTTAGAATGTAGTACCTGACACACACACAAAAGCCCTCAATAAATGTTAAGGTTCTTTTCTTCCTTTTTTAAAAAAGATTTCTTCTTATACTGCCGTAAGAGTGTTAGACAATTGCAAAGTTAAAGATGCTATATTAGGTTTGGTTTTTTTTACCAGCAAATATTTATATTAAAACAATTGACAATTCTAGCTTGTTTTGTAATATTTAGATAACTGTGTAGATTATTTTAGTTTTTTCCAGTGGTGATGATCATTTCATGATATATGTTTGAATATACTCATCATCTCATCCTTATCTGGCTTGTATTATACTTCAGAACTGTTTAAATTACATTTGGCCTTTTGACATTTTTCTTTTTGTTTAATAACAGTTTTTCTTCATCAGTCTATTTCATATGATTCTTAAAATCTCTTCTTTTGAGGTCTTTCTTAAAACTGTTGCTTAATATATAACCCTCTCTTCACTTAAGAACTTAATTCACTCTCATGAATCACCTAGAAAAAATACATTTAAATAAAAAAGACTTGTCTTTTTAAAATTAGAATGATTTATTTAGACTCCAAAGGATCCACTGTATAAGGTAGAAATAACACGTAAAAGTATTATTGGTATCTGATAAAGTTTAGTTGACACTGTTACCACTTGAAATTTGGATTTTTCTTCAGCACTTAAATGAATCTTAAAATATAGGTGTAAGATTTGTAGTTATGTGATTTAACTCATAAATGCTAATAATTATGCTGTTTCTGTCTTCAAAAATGAGACAGCAACCATTTATGAGAAAAGTAAAGAACATTTAAAAGATGGAACCTGCTTAGTGTTCATTCTGTTTGAATTTAAATCTCTGCTTTACTCCTACTATTAAGGGATAATTAGGATTACTTATTTTCTGTGACAGTGTGATTCATGGTTCATTTTCTGTGGAAAAGAGAGTGAGGTTTAAAAAGAAAAAATTGGTTAGAGCATGATTTTATAACACCAGGGTCAAGGGTTCGGAACCCCATACCAGCCAGCCGCAAAAAATAAAAATAAATAAAAATTTTAAAAAATTAAAGACATGACAGGAGGGGATCATTCCCCTAATTAAAGCAGGTGGTCTTTCAAAGTCCAGTCAAGGGCCACCTGCTCTAAATTGATTTTTCTTTTTGGAGGGGTAGTGGCTGGCCAGTTCAGGGATCTGAATCCTTGACCTTGGTTTTATAACATTGCTCTAAAAAACCGAGCTAACCTGGCAGCCCTAAACTGATTTTTTTGACAATTTTCAAAATTGGAAAATAGTAACTTTAGGGTTCTCAGGTCTCCAAAACGATTTTTATCATTTTTTTTAAAGGTTAACATGTAATGATTATGTTCCTATTCTTTGTTTTTATTTTGCTTAATCATTTATTTTAATAAAACGTAGATAATAGCATCTAGACTTTGAGCCTCTGCTAGAAAGTTATTAGGAAATTCTGTCAGTGTAGGGAATATAATATGCTTTTTAAATAGTTATCTGGCCTGTTCAGTTTTTTCATGGTTTAGTTATAAAAATTAGTTTTCCATGACTTTTAAGATAGTAATAGAAGGGCCGGCCCGTGGCTCACTCGGGAGAGTGTGGTGCTGATAACACCAAGGCCACGGGTTCAGATCCTATATAGGGATGGCCAGTTTGCTTACTGGCTGAGCGTGGTGCTGACCAACACCAAGTCAAGGGTTAAGATCCCCTTACCGGTCATCTTTAAAAAAAAAAAAAAGATAGTAATAGAAGCCAAGATTTATTATATTGGATGATACATTTACTATAAAATCTATGTATTGCCTCTGATTAAAATATTAAATTTGGCTTCAATGAATCAAACCTCCAAGTAATATTTTTTAAAACTTTATGAAAAATAAATCAAGAAATGAACCATGGTCTGAAGCAAAACAAGTAGTGTTATTACTTTAATACACTTCTGTCTTTTCAGGCTCATGAGAGACTAGAAGATTCAAAACTAGAAGCGGTCAGTGACAATAACTTGGAATTAGTCAATGAAATTCTTGAAGATATCACTCCTCTAATAAATGTGGATGAAAATGTGGCAGAACTGGTTGGTATACTCAAAGAGCCTCACTTCCAGGTAAACTCTCCCTATTACTTGTCTCCCCAAGTCCCCTCCCTGTATTCCCAAGGTATTCTTTAGTAGAATAAGTTCTACTTAAGTAGAATAAGTTCTAAGTTCCAGTTTAAGGTAATGTTTTTTCTGAAGATTATTTAGGGCCATGTTTTATAAGTATGTCAATTTCAGTTTAAGTATTTTAATATCCTGATAGGCTGAGGATATATAATCAGACATATGTAAATGGTACACACTACATAAATGTACAGTGTCTGTCACAGATATTCATCACAATGAATTTTCCTTTGTGCAGTTGAAGAAAGCAACAACCCTGATTCATCGTCAGAACACATGCTAGAGACATTTTCCTTACTGTGATAATGGA